AGAGAGAGAGAGAGAGAGAGAGAGAGAGAGAGAGAGAGAGAGCGATGAAGCATTGTGATTGGAGCTCCCTTGAGCCAGTGGTACCAGGTCCTGGTAAAAAAAAAAACTACCGACGATGTTGCCACTTTTTCGCATGGATTAATATTGTTCCATTTATTAAAAGAAAACACTCTGAAAGCCATTCAATGCGTGGAACAGATACAAATAAATTTGATTAGCTCCAAAAATAATTATTAACCGGAGATACTCCCTAATATTGCCTGAATTTTGAATCCGAATGGGAACAATTTTTTTCTTCAACGATTGGTTTTCTACAGGAAAACAATAGAAACCTCTCCGCCTCACCTTCTACATTTCCTCCTCGTCCGATTATCCTTAAATAATTTGATGAAGATTTCTTGTCCCATTGTTTTTATTCGTTTTCCATTCGGCTATTAAGTGATAATGGTACTGGAGGGCTGAATAATGGGAAAACCTTTGAGTGAAAATTACTGACAAGATTCTTGAAAATGTTTGCTAAAAGATGCAAAGATGCAAAAGATGCAAATTTTCTTATTCTCAACTATTTAAAATACTAAGAATAAGAAAATTTCATATATTTGTTCTTTGTTTTAGTTCTTCGCAGGCGATATGGAGAAATATAGGATTATATTCTTTTTTCGTTTCTTTTAGAAATTGGGATATTGATTTGAGTAAATTAAGATTCCTTAGAGGGGCTTCTGCTCCATTATACTGCAGGTCACATGGGCCAGTGGCAGGATGGAAACAAAGCATTTGGGTCTCATGCAACGTTGGATCTAAACATAAACTCATTTATGGACATGAAAATAGGTTGAGATTTAATGTTGTGCTTACATCTAAATGGAATTCAAAATACAGGGAAAAAAATACCTGAACTGACAAGGAACACTAGGGAGGTGTTCCCCTCCGATTTCGATGAAACTCATATATGTTGTAGAGGACTCGAAACTAAGCGATACGTTTTTTTTTTTATCGGCGGATACGCAAATTTAAGGGGGGAAACCATGGTCAGAAGGTGACCACTTTTGGGGGTGATTTTTCAATTCCACCTATAAACAGGGAATTTTGTTAAATGTTCATTATGGGAATAAATAGCTTGTGAGGAATTATGAAAATCACAATTGATAGTTCCTCCGGGGATTGAAATTTGGGGGGTAAACTACCCCTGTAAAGACTTCATTCAAAAAAAAAAAACTATGATTCAGAATTATATGAAACCAACTTCGTTGGATGGAACATGGAAAAATGCAGAATACCTGTTTTTGGTTTTTCCCCAGAACTGGAGTTTTCTAGGGTGAAAAAAATAATTTCCCGGCAACATCATCCACCTATGTGGCGGGGTTATTTATTCAATTTATCCAACTGATGAATAGATGGGGAGGAATTATGGAAATCACAATCACTACTCACTCTGAGGTTTCAAATTTGGGGGTTAACTACCCTTATGAAAATTGTGTCTTTCAGAACAAAAAAATATTGTTCAAATTTGCATAAAGCCAATAATATTCAAAAAAAATATGAAAGAATGCAGCTAGGGGCCGGATAGCCCAGTAGGAAGAGCAACCGATGCAAAAAAAATGCGGAAACTGTTTTTTCATTTTTTTGCTCGAAACTGGAATTTTCAGAGGCTGTTTGATGAGATGCCTGGATCGGGGAATTAATTGTGCGGATGGATGAGTTGGAGTCGGATTACGGGGAGTGGGATGAGTAGAACCAAGAAATGAGCGGAACACGTGCACGTGGTCACAAATTCACTGTATTTTGTCAATATTTATAGTTATTTACACTGTCACAATAAATAGAGTCACTGAGCAGACCGTAATAATGAGCCGACTAATTCCTTGAATTAATAATAACTGAGCTGACACAATGAGTTAGTCTGAGTCACTAGAGATGAGCAGTACAATAAAAGAAGTGTCTCTAACTCGATCCCGGAAACGAATGAGAGAGAGACACGGGCTTACAGGTGCCACGTGCCCTAATTCGATGGTCACATGACCTAATTTAATATAGATCATATGGTAATAAGGAGCTGTCCAGGACGTGGCGCCTCAGGTGTCCGAATTAACAACCCCCGGTCATCTGAGGTGAGCGCGTCAGGTGTGCGTGAGTGGGGAGAGAATGGATGAGCCTTGCGTGCGTTAGTGTGAGGGACCTGTCAGCTGACAGGATTTCCAACATTCTCCCCGGCCGTCGGCAACTGTAAAGTTGTTGACGCAACCATAATGAGCAGAGCCATGGTGAGCTGAAACAAAAAACAAAATTCAAAACGCTCTTTGGTGAGCTGTCGGAGCTTGTCACCCATGAGTGAGTCCGTGAGACCGTCCGGAAGGTGCGCTGGCTAGGCATGGCAGCATCCTAGACGTCGGGGGTCGTAAATCCCTTCTGCGTTGGCTGTTGTCATTCTCACATTAAACCCCGTCGGTTGGTCAGGGTCATAAATCCGTCGAAGTTGACGAAGTCCAACGGNAAAAAACAAAATTCAAAACGCTCTTTGGTGAGCTGTCGGAGCTTGTCACCCATGAGTGAGTCCGTGAGACCGTCCGGAAGGTGCGCTGGCTAGGCATGGCAGCATCCTAGACGTCGGGGGTCGTAAATCCCTTCTGCGTTGGCTGCTGTCATTCTCACGTTGAACCCCGTCGGTTGGTCAAGGTCGTAAATCCGTCGAAGTTGACGAAGTCCAACGGTGAGAAGCCGGTGAGCTGTCCTGGTTCTATTCCCCTGAAGGTGAGATGGGCAAGAGGACGTGCTTGGCGATTGGCCTTGTCAGCGTCGTCTGAGCAGTCCTGATGGTTACTACCCTGGTGAGTCCGTCCGATCCTGGGTGCAGAGCGGTCACTCGGGCGAGAGGCCACTTCGCTGGCGGGAATCTCTCGTCCGTGAGTAGAACCAGTGAGCCGATCCGTATCTGATGAGTCGGATGGTGCCACTTGGATATCGCTTGAAGACGTTGGAGATATCCCGTGGACCACCTCTTCCAGAATCCTTGAAGCTTCTGCTGAATGAGCTGCCATCTAGAGAGCCTTGAGACGTTGAGTTGCTCTAAAGATGGCTCTGGAAGAGTCGTGGGAGCCTGACCGATGAGAAAATGCCCTGGTGTCAAGGCTGAACAGTCATCAGGATCATCCGTGAGCGGTTCCAGTGGTCGTGAGTTGAGCACTGCCTCGATTTGAGCGAGCAAAGTGGTGAGTTCCTCAAAAGTGAGCAGATCCTCTCCGATCGTCCGGGTGAGATGGAACTTCACCGACTTCACCGCCGCTTCCCATTTCCCTCCAAAGTGCGGAGCACCTGGAGGATTGAAGGACCACTGAGTCCCATCATTGATGAGGAGCTGTGCGAGCTGTCTTGATTGAGCTGATCCTGACGAGAAGAGCTTCTTTAGTTCCTTGTCAGCGCCAAGGAAATTGGTCCCACAGTCACTGAACAAGGAATGAGCGATCCCACGCCGACTTGAAAAGCGTCTATACGCCGCGATGAACCCCTCGGCTGAGTAGTCTGACACGACCTCGAGATGGACCGCTGAGGTGGTCATGCAGACAAAGATAGCCAACCAGCCTTTGTACGACTTGTGTCCCCGCCCTTTCCAGGACCGTAGAGACACTGGGCCGGCATAGTCGATCCCAGTGTTGAGAAAGGCTCGAGCGGGAGTGAGTCTGGCTGGTGGCAACTGGCCCATGAGCTGTTGAGCGCGTACTCCACGTTGGCGAGTGCAGTTAACGCACTTGAGGATGAAGGAGCGTACTGGTGCTCGACCTCCGAGTATCCAGTAGCTACTTCTGAGCTGCCTGAGGGTGAGCTGTGTGCCTCCGTGGAGTGTCCTTAGATGAGCCTGTCCGATGAGTAGCTGAGCCAGTTGAGATTCCTTCGGAATAATCACTTGGTTCCGGCTCTCCGGGCCTATGTGAGCAAACTTGAGCCGTCCTCCTATCCTCAATACCCCTTGGCGATCGATGAAGGGTGTGAGCTTGGTGAGGGGGTGGGATTTGCTGAACCTTTCCCCTCGTGAGATCGCTCTGAGTTGATCCTTGAAGTGAGCTGCCTGCGTGAGTTTGATCCAGAGGATGCGAGCCTCTTCAAGATCACCAAGAGTGAGCGGGTATCGAAGAGAAGAGTTGGGGGTTTTCCTGAGCCGAGCTATGAATCGTCGACAGATTGCTGTGACCCTGAGCAGTCGGTTGAACGATGAGAATCTGTCGACGAGATTCCAGAGCGCGATTGGATGAGCTTTTACATGTAGGAGAACTCCTGGCTTTTCCTCGAGGTCTGCGCTGAGGTCTTTTTCCAGAGCGTGAGTTGGCCATGATGAGCAGTCTTGATGAAGCCATGGTGGCCCTTTCCACCAGAGCTTATGAGATACCAGTTGGTGCGCTGATAGACCTCGAGATGCACAGTCTGCAGGATTCTCCTTGCCCGGTACCAATCTCCAATGAGCCTGCTGAGTGAGCTCCTGGATGAGTGCCACCCGATTTTTCACGAACTCCTTCCATCTTGAGGAGTGTGAGCTGATCCACGTGAGCGTGACCGATGAGTCGGTCCAGAGATAGGTGGTGGCGTTCGTGAGATTGAGTTGGTCCTTGACGTACTTAGTCAGTTTGGCCAGGAGGAGAGCCGCAGTGAGTTCTAGTCGTGGGATTGTCAGCCGTTTGAGCGGTGCGACCTTCGTTTTTGAGCAAACCAATGTGAGTTGTGATTTTCCCTTGTTGAGAACCTTGAGATAGATCACGGCTGACATCGCCACTTGTGATGCGTCGGAAAAACCGTGTACTTCGACGACGGAATCCGTGAGCAGTCCAAGCCACCGAGGTATGGTGATCTCTGATAACTGTGTGAGCTCCTCCCTGAATTGGCTCCATCGTTGAGCAGTTGTCTGGGAAACTGGTTCGTCCCATCCCAGTTTCTCGATCCATAGAGCCTGGAGCAATATCTTCGCTCGTATGACCACTGGCGCTAGGAAACCCAGTGGATCGAAGAGTTAAGCCGTTTCCGATAAAATAAATCGCTTCGTTATTGAGCTGGTCTCAGGCTGAGTGACGGAGAACTTGAAGTTGTCCGTTCCAGGATGCCAAGAAACCCCTAGAATCTTGGTGAG